TTTTTTGGCTTGGGTAATGTAGGCCTGCCTGCCCTTTTTGCTGGCATCAGTCTATCCAAGGTTTTAAATATCGGTTGTCGGTGATTTATTGGACGGTCAAAATCCATATCGGATAGCGGATATCGAGGATAAGTAGTATTTATCGGAATGATATTACCGAATGGTAATATACATAATATAATATTCTAAAATGTAATCTAACTATACTTAATGAAATATAAATATACCAAAATGTAAATAATTATGTTTAGGATCACTAACCAATTGTAGAAACTCGGGTTGGGTCAGGTTTAAAGCACATTGAATATGTGCTCGTTGCCCGAAATCAAAACTCAAACCAAAGGCTGATAATTCCGATTTTTGGGCCGACATTGTCGGCCGACAACTCACTTTATTGCCGCATTATCGGCGACAAACATTCAAAAATGATAACCGATTTAGAATCGAACTTATCATAGCGGAAGGCCCCAAAACCGATAAATCGTCGATAATATCGGTTTATCGGCCGATATTTAAAACATTGGTCCTACCTCATCAAGGTTATAGAAAAAACCCGACGCATAGAGCCTAGGCATGTTGGTGGAAGCTTAGGGGGGGCTAGGCGTTTTCCTTTTTTTAGTTTTTAATTATAATTACTGATAGTAAATGTCAATGTTATAGAAAACTTAGGAGCGGGACTAACACCTAGGCGCATTTCTTAAGTGGTGGATGATGTTTTGTTAAAGGTCGAGAGAGGTAGATGAGGTGTTCATAGTTTGTGTTTTAAGGAGGTTGGAGGATGTGGATGCTGCAATAGAGGAAATCATGATCAGTGCCTAAATGTTGCAGTTCATGTAAGCAGACCACACTCCTCTAGGCACTCCCAAAATATAGGTGGGTAACCTAGGTACTGCCTAGGCGTTAAGCACTAGGTAGGTGGCTAGGCGGAGGCTTTTTAAAACATTGTACCTCATCATCAGAGTTGAAACCTTTGTGGTTGTTTAATGTCAAACTGAATGGTTCTGGTTTTGGTTAGCACTTGGTACTTGCATGACATCCTACACTCCGTCACATTGGTTAACTTACTATTGGATGCCTAGTTGTGGGACTCCACAGACTACCTAATCCAATCCTTCCATTTTCTTTCTTGTTCCTTCAGTTCTTTTTAATCTGCATGGTTGTTCATACATCAATGTTGAGCTGATTGTTTAACATCTTGGTACTCTAGTCACTTTATGCATGGGCCTACATTTTGACTTCTGTTGCAGATAACTTGTGCCTTCCTGTTCCATCATTGGAACAAAACTGCTGTAGGCTTTTTCCCCCCCTTTTTCTTTTGGCATTTCCTGAAGATTTCGATGAAGCAAATCTATTTTTTGTACGATATCCTCTTTTCAGTTTTTTTTTTTTTTTTTTTAACCTGAGAAACAGGGTGGGATGCCCTGTTCATTTAAATATATTGAAAAAAAGTTTAGAAGAGGATAATACATCATCTGTAGTTGGAGAAAAAAACAGTGGGAGGAGTGAGTAGGGAGCGGACCATTGTCGTCACCTACCACACTAGACCTACTGCTTTCCTACAGCTAGAGAAAACAAAAAACCAAAAATTAAGACAACATTTCAGAGAGGGAATTGAAACAGCTACAATACTTTGATTAAAGACTGAAAAAAGCTAGGCGCAGCTAGCAGCTAACCAAAAGGGAGCATCTTCACAAAAATGTTCTTCTTCCTGCTGGGACTAGAGACGCAGGTGCTTAGTTGCTGGAGAAAAAGTCCCCATCATCAACAGGGGCGTTCTTCTTGGCTAGCTCCTGAAAGCCGAGATTGAGGGATGCCCTTCGAAGCCTCCTCGCCTTCCTATCATCTTCTGAACCTGACCAGAAAATTGAAAATCTCGCAATATTAGAAGCAGTTGAAAGCGAGATAGGCTGAATATCCTTGAAAATTAGAGAATTTCTACAGAACCAGATCCACCAACAAAAACATGGCAACAGAATCTTCCATATGGCTTTAGTATCTGAGCAAATATTGGGAACTTTGTGAAGCAGCAACAATTCTTCCATGTTCGTAGGCCAGCTGTTAGCTGGAAAGAGGGGGAGAAGGGAGTACCAAACATCGCGAGCAAATGGGCAGTGTATAAATAAGTGATCGTGAGTTTCTGTTTCCCGGTGACAGAAAGGACAATTTGGATCACCGTTCCATTCTTTTTTGATCAAATTATCCCTTGTGTTCAGCTTTCTTTTAGAAATAATCCAGAGATGAACTTTTACCTTTAAGGGAATGTTGGATTTCCAAATTGTGTTGAAGAACTGGGATTTTTGACCCCCTGAAGTAACAAATGAGTAAAAGGATTTTACAGTGAAAATGCCCGAAGAATGAAGAGGCCACCGTAAATCATCCAGCTCAGATGAGCCACCTGGATTAATATGCTCTAAGAAAGAGTGAAGATGGATAATGTCTGCCCTTTCGTTAGGGGAAATGCCCCTTCTAATTATGGGATGCCAATTCCATAAATTATTTAGCAATCTTCCTTGCGAACCAATGCTGCAGTTTTTCGAGAGGGCTAACTTATATGCATGTGGGAAGAGGCTGCTAAGAGTATTTGCTGAAGACTATTTATCATGCCAAAAACTGTCGGTGTTACCATCTCCAACATTCCATCTGACAATGTTAAAGAAGGTGGATTGAATGGAGAAAAGATCTTGAAAAAATCTTGAGGATGACATCTTCGGTTGGTAAGCAAAAGGATTGGCTCCATTTTTTGAATAAATGGAGAAAAACACTTTACTGAGAAAAGAGGTTCTGTCGAAAATTTTCCGAATCCATTTGGAGAGGAGGGCTGAATTAAAAGAGGGGATGTCAATCACCCCAAGCCCTCCTTCTACCTTAGATTTACAAACTGTTCCCCAGTTGATAAGACATTTTGTTCTAGAGTAACTGTGACTGCTATTCCAGAGGAAATTTCTTCTGATTTTATCTATGACCTTGATGACCCATATCGGCAACTTAAAGAAAGACATATAGTAGAGAGGGATGGAGGAGAGGACAGAGTTCATGAGAGTTAACCTACCTCCAATGAAGAGAGTTTTGTTTTTCCATAAAGATAGCTTCTTTTTGAATGATTCTAGGAGAGGTTGCCACTCTCTTTTTGATAGAGATCCTCTTTTCAGGGGAAGTCCCATGTAAGGGAAAGGGAGGGAACCGACAGAACAGCTGAGTATCTCGGCCAACGAGTTGCCTTTATGAGGGATTTTGCCAAGATAGAAGAGGTTAGTTTTCTGAGGATTTGCACAAAGCCCTGAAATGCTTGCAAAGATGGAGAGAATGGTCTTGAGAGTAACCATATCAGAGGAGTTAGCCCTAGAGAAGATGATTGTGTCATCCGCAAATTGAATGGTTCTAATGGAATTGAGATTACCTCTCAAATTGAGGTTAGAAAGGTCTCCTGAAGCTGCGCTGCATTTGAGCATCTGACCAAGAACATCCGCCACTAGCATAAAAAGAAGGGAGAGAGGATCGC